TTGTTATGAGATCATAAATGCTTACTCACTATGTTTGTACAAGGCAGTTTCAATTCTTTCTTACATTACTTACAGACTTGAAAGTTTTTAATTAATGCATTTTTATTTACATATTGTTTTGAAAAGGAATCCAACTAGGTACTGCCACTTAGAGCTGCTACTCGTTCTGAGAGCTTTCAAAGCTTTCATATCTGCTAAGCACCGATAGTTTTGGCAGCGCGTTTGGTTACCTGGTGACGAATCAGCCTTTGGTGTTAAAATGTAAGTGTCGTGATGCAGAGTAAGCTCCAGTTGAATATTTCAGGATTTATCGTTGCATTCAAAGGTCCTGCTTGACTATGTCAGTCAAGGTACAAATTGGAGCTCCAGCCCCTGCTTTTACCACGGAAGGAGTTGTTAATGGAAGGTTCAAAAAAATCTCCTTAGCCGATTATAAAGGCAGTTGGGTGGTCCTTTTCTTCTATCCATTGGACTTGTAAGTTTTCTTTAACTAGCAATAAGTAAGAACGATTGCTGTGTTAGATTAAGAAATGCTAAATATTTTATTCTAGTATTTCATGATTGGTTAATGTACTGTTGCAAGAGTATGCAATAACTTTTGAAAACTAGTGTAGCTTTTGCCTCATTGCCGATTGGATGGGGGATGGGGTAAAGTGATATTTAGGTTCAGAGGCATCTGTAACGAGAAGTTCTGCTGAAGGAATTCTTACAAATGCTTGTGAAAGCTATCAGCAAATTATCAAATATTATGCTACAACTGAGCTTTTATTGTTCTGATAACTTTGTTTTCAGCACCTTCGTCTGCCCCACTGAAATTATTGCATTTTCGGACCGTTTCGACGAATTTCAGAAACTCAACGTACAACCGATTGCTGCATCAACGGACTCAAAGTTTTCCCACTTGGCGTGGATAGAGCGGTCTCGTAATGAGGGTGGTTTGGGGAAAATGAACATTCCAGTTATTGAAGATACAAATCATTCCATTAGTAGAGCCTACGGTGTGCTTAAGGAGGATGAAGGTGTAGCATATCGGTAGTATTTTGAAGACAAATGTTTGTAATGTAAAATGCATAGCTTTGCTGTTGTTGTTTTTGTTCAACTTGGATAAATCTGAAAGAACTTTTCAGTGGTTTGTTTATAATTGATCCTCGTGGGATATTGCGACAAATAACCATTAATGATATGCCAGTTGGTCGATCTGTTGATGAAACTATCCGCCTAATTCAGGCATTTCAGTTTGTCGAGGAACATGGAGAAGTTTGTTACTTTGGTCGTTTTAAGTGGTTTTTAATTTATTTGAAAAACTTTTAAGAATCTTTTTTTTTCCTACATATGCCTCCACAAAAGGTTCTTTATTGCATTGTAAATGTTTTTAAGGTGTGCCCAGCTGGTTGGAAGCCAGGAGGCGCTACAATCAAGCCAAACGTTCAACAAAGTAAGGAGTACTTCAAAAACAAGAAATGAGTTGAAATGAAGATGCGTACTGCCTCATCCGCTGTACGTGAAAATTTTAGTAGTTAATATGGCTTTTAGACCTGGATTTAAAAAATAAAGAGGTTACGTACCTGTTTTGCGTGTTCCCGCAGCTTACTGTAACTGTTAAGAAATTTTTTCGCCCCAGTAGCTCAGAAGGTGGTTTAAGGCTTTTGTTTATGTGGCGAGGGTATTAGCTGGTTTGTTGTCTTTTCGAAGTTAATAAGCAGTGTAAAAACAGGTGACACGGAGGTTATTATGAAACTTGGTTATATGGTAAATGCACAAAGGTAGGTGTAATGTGGCTTGAAAGGA